AAACTATATATCTTTTGCAGATACTGCGTATATACAATATAAACACACATGTCTTTATATGTATATGTGTAACAGATGAATGAAGAGCAAGGAAAAACATAGTTGCCACTTTCACAGAGCTTAACCCAGTAGTGAAGAGAGACAATAAGAAATAATATATACAGGGCCAGCAGGTGGAGTAGTGGTTAAAGCTCTGGACTCCCACATGGCTGACCAAGATTCGAGTCCCAGACCTGGAGATTTAAAACTCACACCGGGTGCCTGTGTATGCATGCCCAAAATCTTGTGAAGAAAATGGAGAAGAGATTGATGTGTGGCCATTTCCCCTGGGGGGTGGTTTTCCACTTTCTCTCTTTCTGTCTTTTGGGCAAGAGCATGCACCCTATAGCAAAAATCTCTCTAAAACAAAACAAAAAAGGAAATAATATATGCTAACAAACACTGGTCAGTGCTATGAGATAAAAGCACAGGTTGGGTGCAACTATAGTGAGGAAAGTGGGCAATGAGGTCAGGGAAGACCTCAGAAAGACCAAAAGGGCCAGCCATGTTAAAGTGCATGGAGAACCATTTCTAACACAGGAAATAGCAGTGTTAATTGCTCCAACAAAGGGAAGTGTTTAGGAATGTTCTTGGAATTGAAATCAGGCTGGTAAAGATGTTAAGTCAAAAATGAAGGTAGTCTTCAATGAGGCCAGAAAGTACAAGGAGGCCTCTCGGGCAAGGCATACTTGACAAGTGAAATTGCTCTTTTTGGAGAGGCTTTTGCTATAGGGCACATGTGCTCGCCAGAAAGACAGAGAGAGATAGAGAGACAGAAAGTGTGAAATCACGTCACAATCCCTTCTCCTTCATTCTCCTATTGGGATCTTGGGCACACACACACATACAAGCCTGGCGTTTGTTTAAACCACCGGCTCTGGGACTTGAACCATGGTTGACTACATGGTAGTCCAGCAACATAGCCATTACACCAACTGCTGGCCCCAAAATTGTTCTTATTACTAAATGAAAAACCACCCTATGGTTTTAAGCAAGAGGGAGACTGGAACTAATTTATATTTTTAAAACCTCAGTATAGATAGATTTACTTATTTGGACACTAAGGGTGAAAAAAGTCCAGTTGGAAAGGTCCAGTTAATGCCAGCAGGTGGTGTGGTGGTTAAGCACTGGACTCCCACATGGCCAACCATGGTTTGAGTCCTGGACCTGGTGACTCACTTTTTCCCTCTCTCTACTCAAATTGAATAATAACAACAATAATAATAAATACAATTAAATAAATCATTATTAAAAAAATAGAGGGTTCCTGTCGTTTATCTCATGAGAGATAATGGAGGCTTAGATTGGGGCAGCAAGAGTGGAGATAAGGAAGTGAATAGATCAGGACACATTTTGGTGATTGAATTCCAGGGATTAGAAAACTATTGAATTTGAAAGAATTGGGGCGGGAGGGAGGCTTGAAGAAGGAAGCAATAAGCCTTTAAGACTTTCTAACTTTCAGAATTCAAAATAAGCATGTCCCACTGTTTTTATACATTTAATGGGGACCCAACAGTGAAAAAGCTTTCATTTTTATATGTCATTAGCGTTTTGATTTTTTTAAATGCTTACAAATTTAGTTACTATAAATATGTATACTTCTATAGGCTAGTAAATAAAATTTGTCTTATGAAGCATGTAAAATATGAAAATTCAGCTTATTTCATAAATTTTTTCTTAACCTTCCCTTGAGTGGAAATGAAAATTCAATTGGTTTTCCTCTACAGTTTATATTTCTTTTCAGTTTACCAAGTTCTGCAAAATTCTCTCCAACAAAAAGGACGAAATATACATTTCTTCACCAAATCAAACCATACTTTTATCTGTGATCCTCTCATTCACTTTTTGAAATATGATTTCATATTTTAAATTTAATGTTATGGCAAATCAATCATCGTCACATACTTGCCTGAGTTGTTTTTAAAGACAGACTGTGGTTTAGAAATGCTTTCTCCACATTGCTACTCCCTATCTCAGACTTCTGCTCTGACCTGGCATAATGGGGTAAGTTTATACAATGAGGGGAGGTAGTGTCATGTCACTGAGCTAATCAGGGTTCATTATGAGCAGTCTTTTATTTAAGCTAATTAGATATGCCTTAAAGTATGTAAAATGAGTTTAATAATCATTTAGTAGGTGTTATTTTGGGTAATACAAGCGGAACCGAAGTATTAGAATTTGTATGTGCTGTGGTTCTAATGCACCTTTAAATTCCAAACCATAGTTCTTACGTTGCATTCTTATGTAGAGTTTTAGGAATCCCAGTGTGTTTGGGTTTCTAAAACAATGTTAATCCTTCAGCAGGGGAAAACTAAAGTCTATAATGCCTAGAGATACCAGAAGATGAAAACCGATATGGTCTCCCTTAAATTTAATTTTAAGTACATTGACAAAAAAAAAAAAAAATCCTCTGTTTTTCATTTTCATTAGTTTCATTATTATCATAATCTTTCTATATAACTTAATATTTTTAATTGAAAGGATATATGATAACTACCTTTCAACTTTGTCTGCATTCATATTTATTTCAGATTTTTTTTTTTTTTTTGTAGTTTTAGCTCTGAAGCATCTAGTTTCCTAGACAGAAAAATAAGCTGTGTTCTTAAGGGGTAAACGAACATAAAATCAGTTCTTATTAACATCTGTTTCACACTGGAAACTGTAGTAATTAGACTTGGCATTTTTGGGACCACCAATATCTCTTACTCCATGACAGAAATGTTTAAAAAGTCTTCAGAAGTGAACCTGGGAGATTTCTTCCCATGATGGGAAGATGGGAGAGGCTGATCTTTTCTCTTTAGGGTAGAGAAAGGCCTGCTTGAATTTGATATGTAACTGCTACCCAGTAGAGAATTTATAGACTTGATGATGTGTTACATTTTATTCTAGAAGAACTAGCTAACATGGGAATGAGTTAGAATTGTTTTTAAAAAGTAATTCATAGAAGTTCATTTGAGAAGCGGTGGTCGTAGCTTGATGACTCACAAGTGAATTCTACACGAGGATGCCCTAGGAGGGTGACAGCTCTCCTGGGCAGGTGGCTGTGATTCCACGTGCTCCACGCTGTGGGTTGAAACTGCTGGTGGGCGCTGGCTGCAGGGACTAGACTTAAAGCCTATCTTGGCAATCAAATGTTGAAGAAGTAAACCTTACCAATGTCTGCTAGCATTTCTAGACTGGCTTATTACCAGCCTTTAGTGTGAACACAGGGTGCCTTCCTGCTCCTGTCACTTGGCTGTCAAAGCAAAATGGAACAATGGAGGGCAATTGCCAGAAATAAAAATGTGTAATATGTAAGCTATAAGGGGCTATACAGAAGTTGAAAATATTGATGATGATGATTAGTTATTATTATAATTACTTTATCCAGTAAGTAGAGATGTTCAGTGTATTAGCACTCTCTGGGCAGGAGATCATAAAGGATTTTACTAATGCATTATCAAGAAATTTTTTATCTCATGATTACCTCAACCTCATGCAGGAGAGACAATGCTAAAGTAGATATACAGGAACTTTGGAGCTATATAGAGCTCAAATAAAATACTAGTTCAATATTTTAGTATATATTAGATGTTGGCAAATCAGTAAACATTCTAAGTCTAAAAAAAAATGTCTATCTTGGCTACAAAATATTTAATCATTTAGCTAAAAATGGTATATGTTTTTTACATGCAATGCATGTGGTGAATCAGTGAAGAAAATACCAGTGGAAAAGCATGCATCTATTTGCAGAAACTGTGAATGCCTTTCCTGCGTTGACCGTGGTTAAGATTTCTGGGGTGATGACTATAAAAACCATGGGAAATGCATAAGATCAGAAGTATGGTGGCAAAGGCTACGAGGGTAAAACCTTTAAAGGTGATGTTCAACAGCAGGCATGAATTCAGAAAATTAATGAATTAAGAAAGAGACCCAATGTCAGCCCCAAAGTGAGAGAACTTTTAGAGCAAATTAATGCCTTTGACAACATTCTCAGGAAAAAGGCAAAATTTCAGAATTGGAAGAATAGCTTAAAAGTCCATAATGAATCCATTCTGGAGCAGGTGTGGAATATCTTTTCTGAAGTTTCTGGCAGTGAGCCAGTGAATTGGGGCAACATCAACAACTGCTCAACCAAGGTGCAGAACCACATGCAGAAGTCTCCACCAAGGCCGGCTCCTCTACAGCAAATGACACCGTGGAAGAGTGAGCAGAAGTGAAGAATAGAAGAGAGCAGAGGAAGAATGGCAGAAGACTAGGAAGAGAAGAAAAGAAAGAACTGAAATTAGAAAACCACCAGGAGGGACCAGCAGTTAGTAATGGCTATGTCATTGGACTCCTATGTAGTTGACTGTGGTTCAAGTCCCAGACTTGGTGGCTTAAACTCACAGCCAGGCACATGTGCATGTGTGCACAAGATCCCAAGAGGAGAGTGGAGGGAAAGGGATTGCAGCGTGGCCATCCCCCCTGAGAGGTGATTTCTTGCTTTCTATCTCTCTGTCTCTTTCTGGCGAGTGCACACGCTTTATAGCAGGTTATTGCACACGCTTTATAGCAAAAAACTTTAAAAAAAAAAAAAAAAAAAAAAGAAAGAAAAAGAAAAAGAAAAGAAAGAAAACCACCAGGAAAATTCAAAGAGTAAGAAAACGAAGAAGCACGAAAAGGGACAAGAGGCTGGACTGGAAGCTGCCGGCCAAGAAGCTCCGAGGCCAATGGCCCTACAGAGAGGAGTGGGAAGAAGAGGAACAAGGGCACGTCTGCAGGAGAAGGGCCAGTGATGGAGGTAGGGGCTTCAGCAAGGAAGAGACAAGAAACAGCTGCAGGAAAAAGAAAGTGCCAACATTCAGAAGTTAAAACAGATACTGAGGAAAAAAAATATGAAGGCCCCAGGACAGTCTGAAGGTGGAGAACCAGAAGACCATGAGGCTCCTGCAAATGGTAAATTCACCTGGAAGGGAACTATTAAAGCAATTCTGGGGGCCAGCGGGTGGCATGATTGTCGAGGGTGTTGGACTCTCACATGGCCGACCATGGTTTGAATCCCAGACCTGGCAGCTTGCTTTCTCACTTTCCCTCTCTTTCTCTCTTTCTTACTCTGTCCCTCTCTGGTCAAATTTAAAAGATAAAAATAAAGTTAAGTAAAAGGATTTTTTTTGTGTTTCTTTTTTCTTATTTTCTTTTTTCTTTCTTTTTTTTTTTTTTTTTTTTGAGAGGTCTTTGCTTATAGGGCATGTGCATTCGCCAGAAAGAGCGAGACAGAGAGACAGAAAGTGAGAAATCACCCCACGGGGGGATGGCTATGCCACAATCCCTTCTCCTCCATTCTCCTCTCAGGATATTGGGCACACATGCACACGCTCCTCGTGTGAGTTCAAACCACCAGGTCTGGGACTTGAACCATGGTCAACTACCTGGGAGTCCAGTGACATAGCCATTACACCATCTGCTGGTCCCAAATAAAAGAATTTTTAAAAAATAAATAAATAAAGCAGTTCTAAAACTGGCCCCAGACAATGAAATTGCCACCAGAAAGCTAAGGAAAAAGGTTTTAGCTCAGTACTACACAGTGACGAATGAGCATCACAAATCAGGAGTTCCTCTTTAAGAAGAAAATCAGCAAGAGTCCACTTTCAAGCTACTAAAGGACAAAGTCAAGCTTTTAAAATGACTATGACTACATTTTAAAATTGAATTTCTTCTGTTAACTTCTTTTCACTGCTGTTTATAAAATGTATAATAAATTATAATTCAGATTTTTACTTTCAGAAGTTATATTTTTAAGTTAAGGAAAAAATATATTTTTGGTAGAACTGTTATTAAAAAAATAAAATATATTCTTGTCCAAAAAAAAAAAAAGTTTACTTGAGAAGCATGTTCATTCACAAAAAGCCTTTGCTTTGTCTTCATGTTAATTTAAAAGTCAATAAACATAACACACCTAGGAAAAGTCATATTTGTTATAGGTAGGTTTATCATGAAGTCTCAAATTTGTTCATTCTAATTATGCTTAGCACTGAAGATTTTCTCAATTAGGAACATAATGGCCTCTCATAACTTTGATATTCTGGACATAGTTGCTGAGTTTCAAATGTTATTGTCTGGAAGATCAACAACTTCACTTACCTTTCCACAAAAATCCCAGCTTGAACAGCGTGTACAATGCTCCGAAATTTTGGCTTTTCCTCCGGTTTCTTTTTTGTCATCCCCATTTTCCGTGTAAAAGTAGAAGCCAACCAGTCCCGGACTTCCAGTGGCACTGAATCTGACTGTATGTCGCCAAGCTCATCTTCAGTGTCCAACAATCTTCTACAAAAAATCATATATATGAAATATTAGGAGAAAATGAATAAGAAAACGAATAGTACAAAGGTATTTAAAATAGACTAGCAATCATTTCTTAATATGAAATATTTAAAGAAAAGAATAAAAAAGAGTGAATTTAGAATGCTTGTAATTTCTTAAATTGATCATCTTCTGAAGCTATAAGCCAATAAATGTGAGTCTTGGCATCTTCTCAGACATGAAGGACAACAATTACCAGTTGATTGTTAATGTGAATATTCTATTCCCATAATAAATATGGCTAAGGAAATACTGGAAAGAGAATTCATAAACAAATGTCTGCTAATAAAAGGAAGCAACTGGAATGAAAGAAAAAAGGGGGTGCATCACAGCTCTCTTAGTTGTCTTAAATTTACTAATCTTGTACATAATCTCGTCTATATAATACAGATAGTACATGCTATTTGAGTAAGCTTTGAGTTTACAAAAGTCAGTCATTGGTGCTATTTTATTTGATTAATACCTCTAAATTTTAGGAAAATAATAAATACTCTAGAAAATATACAGATGAAAAGTTTTAAAAAATATTTAAAAATCCATGAAAATAAATGAATTATTTTAGAAGTTCATTTCAAGTGACTAAGCCAGTGTGGAAGAAGTGTCTCTTGTGAAGAGCAAATACTGTCTGAGGATGGAGATCTGATGGGCTTGGGACCACTTGGCCAATGAAAATCAAATGAGTGAGGAGGTAAATAAGAACTAAATCTACTATCACTTTCCTTATAAACTACAGGCTGAGAAAGTTAACTGGAATGACGAGTAATGAGAGCTGCCGTTAGAGAGAATGGAACATCCTTATTTTAAGGCCAGTCAGCTTCGGTGATCGAGAACTTCTTAAAGGTCCGGACAGGCAAACTAACATGAAAGGTACTCCATAAAATACAATACTCTACAGAGGAGCCGAGCTCTGCCTCCTGGAAGAACACAGGCCAGCTCTGCCTTTGTCTGATTTTTTTTCCCTTGCTATTATATCCATTTAATAACTCGGAGCTCCTCCCATCACACTTTAGCTTTGACCTTGGCATTCTGGTTGCTTTGGTGAATCTTTGCACAGAACGAGGCCTTTGGATTATGAGCCAGCAGAAGGAAAAGAGCTGGCGGTGGCGGTGTGTGCTAAAATCTCAGGGACATCATTACACATCATCTCTGGAAGGCAGGGACAAAGAAAGAGCAAAAAGCAGGAGGCCCACTCAAAGCATACAGGATGGCCAAAGGAAAGCTCAAATAATAAGAGATGAGTTCATCTTCACATTCTTTTAAATGAACTCCTATTTGTCCTACTGTTTGTTTTTTTTTATAAACATGCTAAAGATAATTGTCATTTTATTTTTCATGGTATTAAGTAAGCATCAATGTATGTCTAATGCACTTTATAAAAAGTCAATACAACTTAAGTGCTGGAATTACAAAACTACATGTATACTTGTGAAGATAAAAAAGAGTTACATAGCTGGATGTTAACACTGATTAATACTTACTGTATATTACTTTTACTTTGCTTTTGGGTGCTATTTTTGGATGATTTTGATTTACCCTTAAAACATCCACATTCTATATCACAACAAAATATTATTTTTCCCTTTCTGCCCATTTGAAATTAGATTCTTTAGTCCATGTCATCAAAATATACACTACGTGGCTTTTAAAATTAGGCCATTTCCACAATCGCTTGTGCAATGATCAAATAAAGCCACAGAGCGGGGCTGGTGGAATTGGAATCATTGTGGTGTAATTCTGTGATGTCACCATGCTCCAAACATTCCACTGCTGCCTTGTTGGCTAACCCAAGTAGAATGACAGACACAAGGTAATGGTTGCTAAATCGTCCACGGCCAGTTTGACACTGGTGACTTTAAGGCTGTGTGTCTAAACTCATAAATTATCCAAGATAGATCATCAAACGTGACAAAATAGACATCCAGAAATGAAAGTCCACATAGGGATGTGGTCCTCAGGGGCCTGGCAATTTTTAGTCATGATGCATGAGGTCCTTTACTAAGGAAGAAAGGGACCAGCTGGTGGCTTGTGGTTAAGACTCGATTCTCACATGGCCGACCACAGTTCAAGTCCCTGACCCAGCAACTTGAAAATCATGCCAGGTATGTGTGTGTGTGTGTGTGTGTGTGTGTGTGTGTGTGTGTGTGTGTATTCCCAAAAATCCCAAGAGACGAATGGAGAAGAAGGGACTATAGTGTGGCCATCTCCCCAGGGGATGATTTCACACTGGTGGCTTGTTTTCTCACTTTCCCTCTCCCTCTCTGTCTCTCTCTGGTAAGCACATGTGCCCTATAGCAAATTAAATGATCATAATAATTAATAATAATAAGTAAAATTAAGTAAATAAATAATTTTTTATAAATAATTTTTAAAAGTAAATCTGTGTATGGAACAAGATATGTGTCAATGTGTGTAAATGTCCTTTCTCTTCAGCTTACAAAAATGGGGAGCTGCAGGTCTGCTTCTCTGAAGTTCTTTGCTCTGCGGTGCTGTTGCAAATACGGCCTTCACTAGGCTATGCATCCATCTCTCTCACTTGTATGGAAAATAGGAAAAGACTCCATTGCCACTCAATACACTTTGACCTTTCTATTTGGAACAAAGAGTTTCAGGTTTTCCCTTTTAGAATAAGCCTCCTTCTCTAGAGAACTCTGTACTCTGCTCTTTCCACCTGAGATTGTCTTGAAGACATTGTTCTTTGTTGTTGTTGTTAATTAATAGCCTTACTTTTCTGGAGCACTTTTAGGATTACAGAAAAACTGGGCACAAAAAAATGCCATATATTTTATCTTCACCCTGCAGGCACAGTTTGCCATGATTATTGACACCTGGTATTGCTATGTTACATTTAATCCAGCTGATCAACCAGTATTGACCCATGATTATTTTAAAGTCCATAGTTTACATCAGGGCTTACTCTTGGATTGCATGAATTTTTATAAATGTATAATGATCTGTAACTACTGTTTTAGTGTCATACAAAGTAGTTCCACTGCTCTAATAATCCCCCATGTAGCACCTCTTAATTCCTCTCCCTTTCTATCCCCCAAATTCCTGCAACCACAGATACCTTTACTCTCTGCGTGGGTTCGCTTCTTTTTAGGTTGTCATACATTTGGAATCATACAATGAAAGCCTACAGCCTTATTTCACTTAAAATATGCACGTAAGTTCCCTCTATTCCTTTTCATGGCTTGATGATGCATTTCTTTTTATTTCTGAATAACGTTCTGTTGTACACGTGTACTATCCGTGTGTTTATGAACTCTACTATGGAAGGACATCTTGATGGCTTCCAACTTTTGGCATTATAAATTAAGCTCCTACAAGTATTTGTATGCAGGTTTTACAAAAATCAGTTTCGTGAATACCAAGGAACATGGTGGCTGAATGGTATGGACAGTGTGTTCATTTCTGAAAATAAATAAATAAATAAATAAAAACCTGCCAAATTGTCTTCCAAAGGGGCTGTGCCATTTTGCCTTCCTACTTTCAATGAATGAATGTAAAGGCAAGCCAGCAGCATCTCTTGCCAGAACTAGGACCTCTTCATTGGCCTCCCAGCTCCCTTTCCTGATCACATGAGCTTTTTCTTCGATCTATAGCTAGAATGCCTCTTTTAAAGTATTGGGTGAGGGAAAGA